AGCCGAAGGCAGTCGCTTAGGCACCCAGGCGCCCTATGCTCCATTTAGTACAGTCATCTGTTGTTGGAGGGAATAGAGGTGAACAATCAGTTTCTTGGAATATCGTGATAGAGCAAAGCCAGCCTGTGTCCACACTGTGGGTTGGCTGCAGCTACCTCTCGGGCATTCTGGGATTTCTCTTCCCCACACAGCCATGTGTTCGTCCTTCTCTCTCTCTCTCTCTTTCTCGTTCTCGCTCTCTCGCTCTTTTTTCCAGTTTTATTGAGAAATAAACATTCATCACTGTATAATAGCCTGATGGTTTGATGTACAAATATTGTGAAATGATCACCACAATAAGTTAGGCTCACATCCATCTTCCCATATAGATAAAAAAGAAAAGAAAAAAAGGGAAATTTCTTTGTGTGATGGGGGCTCTTAGGATTTACTGTAACAACTTTCCTATATACCACACAACAGAGTTCACTGGGTCGCCATTTGTGCTTTACGTCCCTAGTACTTCCCTTATGATTGGAAATTTGCACCTTCTGACCACCATCCTCCTCTTTCCCCTCTCCCCACCCTCTGCCTCTGGTAACCACAAGTTTGTTCTCGTTCTGTGAGGTTTCTTTTTGCCCACATGTAAGTGAGATCAGATGTATTTGTCTTTCTCTGTCTGATTTACTTCACTTAGCATAATGCCTTCAGGGTCCCTCCATGTTGGAACAAGTGATAGGATTTCCTCATTTTTTTTATGGCTGAATAATATTCCTGTGTGTGTGTGTGTGTGTGTGCATGTATATATCACAGTTTCTTTCCTTTCATCCATTGATGGATACTTAGGTTGTGTCCATGTCTTGGCTATTATAAATAATGCTGCTATGAACATGGGGATGCAGATATATTTTCAAGTTAGGGTTTTTGTTTCCTTTGCATATGTTTCCAGAAGTGGAATTTCAGGATCAAGTGGTAGTTCTATTTTTAACTTTTTTAGGGTCCTCCATATTGTTTTGCATAGTGGCTGTACAAATTTACATTTCTACCAAGTACACAAAGGTTCCCCTTTTTACCAGTATTTTCTTGTCTTTTTGATGATGGCCATTCTGCCAAGTGTGAGGTAGTGCCTCATTGTGCTTTTAATTTGTATTTCCCTGATGACTAGTGATATTGAAGACCTTTTCATGTACCTGTTGCTCTTTCAGTCCCATTTTTAAATTGTGGTTTTTTTTTTTTTTTTTTGGCTGTTGAGTATATAAATTCTTTATATATTTTGCGTATTAACCCCTTCCCAGATAAATGGTTTGCACTGTCTTTTCTCCATTGAGTATTCTTGGCTCCCTGGTCAAATATTATCTTCTGCTACCTTGGAGTTCGGTTTGCTCTTCTTTTTCTAGATCCTTAAGGCATAAAGTTAGGTTATTTGGGATCTTTCTTGCTTTTTTTTTTAAAGATTTTATTTATTTATTTGACAGAGAGAGAGACAGTGAGAGAGGAAACACAAGCAGGGGGAGTGGGAGAGGAGAAGCAGGCTTCCCGCTGAGCAGGGAGCCGGATGCGGGGCTCGATCCCAGGACCCCGGAATCATGACCTGAGCCAAAGGCAGATGCTTAACGACTGAGCCACCCAGGCACCCCTCTTTCTTGCTTCTTAATATAGGTGTTTATTGTTGTGAACTTTGCTTTTAGAACTGCTTTGGCTGCATCTCACAAGTTTTGGTATGTTGTATTTCCATTTTTGTGTCAAGAACCTTTTTTTAAGGTTTTATTTTTAAGTAATCTGTGCTAAATATGGGGCTTGAACTTACAACCCAGAGATCAAGAGTCACATGCTCTACCAACTGAGCCAGCCAACCACATGATCCTCAGGAGCCCTTTTTAATTTCCTTTAATTTCATCTTTGATCCATTGGTTATTGAGTAGAGTGTTGTTTAATTTCCATGTGTTTGTGAGTGAATTTTCTAGTTTCCCTCTTGCTACTGATTTCTAGTTTCATGTCATTGTGGGCAGAAAAGATGATCTCAGTCTTCTTGAATTTGTTAAGACTTGTTTTGTGGCCTCACCTGTAGTCCATTCTAGGAAATGTTCTGTGTGTGCTTGGGAAGAATGTGTATTCTGCTGTTGTTGGGTAGAATGCTCTGTGTACATCTGTTAAGCCCAATTCGTCTATAGTGTTATTCAGATCCACTGTTTCCTTTTGATTCTCTGGATGATCTATCCATTGTTGAGAGTGGGGTATCAAAGATGACAACTACTATTGTGTTACTGTTTGTCTCTCCTTGTAGTTCTGTTTTTTTTTTTTTTGTTTTTTTTGTTTTTGTTTTTTTTTAAAGATTTTATTTATTTATTTGAGAGAGAGAATGAGAGACAGCACAAGAGGGAAGAGGGTCAGAGGGAGAAGCAGACCCCCTGCTGAGCAGGGAGCCCGATGCGGGACTCGATCCCGGGACTCCAGGATCATGACCTGAGCCGAAGGCAGTCGCTCAACCAACTGAGCCACCCAGGC